TTCTTCTACCATTCTTGACCAGAAGTGCGTTTCAAACTCAATGATATGGGCATAATCCCATTGAATGTTGTGTCCAGTGTTACGGGTTTGTTTTGCTACTTGCTGCCTAATCTGAGGGCTCTGTTGTGGTCTTTAAAAAGAGGTCACAATAGGGGCAGCGCAATTTAAATATCAAGAAATGTATTAGAGTTTATTTCTAAAATGAAATGAAAGGGATATTTGACAAAAAGGCTTCAGATTGAAGATTCCATCTCATAAAATTGTCTATAAGAGAGAAAGGGAGCCTTATTTCTGAAATGAAAGGCTATTTGACTTTCAAGAGCGATAAAAACTCTAATCCATCCCTTGGAATTTAAATTGCACTTCCCCCATTCAGTGTGCCATTTTCAAAGAGCACAAAAAGGCTTCAGATTGAAGATTCCATCTCATAAAATTGTCTATAAGAGAGAAAAGAGAGTTTATTTCGAGAGAAAAAATGAAATGAAAGGGCTATTTGACAAGAGCCCTTTCATTTCATTTTAGAAATAACCTCTCTTCCTCTCTTATAAGCAAAATAAGCCCACTCAATAATTAATATATATTAAAACGTCATAGCGATTCATCCAAATAAGAAATCGACGTAAGAGGCATTTTGAAAGTTTTAAGAAAATTCCTTCAAATTCCAGGATATTGGATGTTATTTTTCAGGAAACTCTATTTAAACGAGTGGAAGCACTGGCGATTCTGTTTTTTTTAAACTGTAACAATTCTCCTTGGATCAGATATAGACCAAAAACAAGCCTCATTATCTTCAGTATACAAGTGTCATTTCGGACCTTACAGCTTTCATAGAAATCGCTTCTGGACCGTCAAAGAAAAAGTTTGAGAACCCCTGGTCTACGCATTATACACATCAGGACCAACTTGACAACTTGACAAAAATTTGAGGGGGGTTCGACCCCCCCCCCCCCTGCGTACGCGCCTGCATGTGCATCCCTTCCTCCTTATTCCCTTATCCATCTTTACCGTCACTACCATTTGAGTAGGGCCGGCCCCCTCCTTAATAACGACTCCCAAGCCATCAAGAATGACCCCATAATTTATAGATTACCATTCTGCCGTTCTTTGGAGGGGCCGGGCGCGGCCTTTTCAGAAGTGTTTCTACACTAACCTTTTCATGCACTACGGCTTAACATAAACAAGCATGCTAAGATTTTTTTGAAAAGAAGCATAATTTCGACTCAGTTTCGCATAACCTAAAAAAGGAATACGGCCAGTCACCCCCCCCCCTCCCCTCAATACATCCGCCTTCACGCACCCCCTTCCCCTTGTCTTTCCCTTATTCGTCGTTACTGTCACTAATTTTTAATGCCATTTCGTTGTCTTTCTTTCTCCCCGGCTCCTCTCTTCTTTTTCTTTCCTCTTTTTGAACTCTCTCTCTCTGTTCTTTACTTTTTTGTTCTCTTTTCTTTTATCTTCTCCTTTTTTCCCCCTTTTTTTCTTTCTTTTTTTCTTTCTTTTTTCTTCCTCTTTTTTCCTTCTCAATTTGTTTGCGCCGCCAATAGGGGGGGGGGGGGCCGCGGCCGTTTCGGCCCATCCCTGGATCCGCCACTGGATATATATACACATTATTTATTGGGCTTATTTTGCTTTCAAATGGATCCGTACAATATGACACAGCTTTAGGGGCCTGGAAGAGCCCCTACCGGGGTCCGTCCCAGGATGCTCTCGAGTTTATTTGACTTTCAAGAGAAAGTGTCTCTAAGATATAAAGTGAGGTTATTTCTTAAATGAAGTGAAATGACTCTTGAAAATAAAATAGCCCTTTCATTTCATTTTAGAAATAAACTCTAATCCATCCCCTTGATATTTAAATTGCACTGCTCCTACTTTGTGCTTTGTTCACACTCTCCCTGATCTATAAAGGGTGCTTTCTCTATTTGATCATCAACAGAAGCAAAATGCTAGGCCACGAACTTTTCGAAGAGTGGCCAGATTCAAAGTATGCTTAAATGGGGGCATTGATGTACATGTATGTAGAAAAACAGGATTAAGATCCCATGCACCCGGCCCCCCACTCAGTGTTATTTAGGGTACGCATATGCGTGTTCCAACCGACCCCCCCCCCCCTTTCAGCAAAAGTCCGGTGTGCAAAGTCAATACGGGTCGACCTTTTTTTTTTGTTACGAAAAGGACATTTTGGCAACACGCATGGGGTCCGTCCGTTCTCGGAGTGGGGGGGGGGGGGGGGGGCGGGCCAATGCAACTAGACGTTGCTTAATGCATTTCGTATTGGTATTATCTCCCATCTGAGAGTGATTATAGACGTTATTTATATGGATGATAAAGATGAAGCTGTCCGGGTCTTTGAATATAATGCTTCAAAACAAATCGAACAAGCTGTTTATTTCTTTATCCATGGTCTGTCCTACTGTTTATCTACTTTCCTTGCCAATCCTCGAAAATGAATTTATTATGCATTTCACAGAGGAAAGTTTGCATATTGATGAAACATAATGGGCGCAGGCCAAGATTTATATCCACTCAAGGGTGAATTTGGCGCATCTTCCCTCATCTTCTTCAACCAGGAAATGGACTTCATTGTAGCCTTAGGACAGGATGGTGACATAAAATTGATAAAAGAACATCATAATCAGATTATCCGACCCCGGAAACCCCATGAATTTATCAACTTTTATCATACTGGTCTTTTTCCTTTTGGAACGACGATTGACCTTTTACTCAAAGGTGGCAGCCATTTTAGATTTGACCAATATGACCAGCATGAAATCCCCAAGTAAACCTCAAATTGGTAAAAGAACATGATATCCAGATTCTCTGACCCCGAAAACTCCATAAATACATAAACTGTTATCATTTTTAGCTCTTTTCCTTTTGGAACTACTATTGACCTGTAACTATCAGATGGCGGCCATTTTGGATTTGACCAATATTACCAGTATGACCCGAGGAGATCTCAAATCGATGAAAGAATATCATAATCAGATTCTCTGACCCCGAAAACCCCATAAATATATAAACTGTTATCATACTAGCTAGCCCATTTCCTTTCGTAACTACACTTGACCTGTACTATCAGATGGCGGCCATTTTGGATTTGCCCCATATGGCATACCCAGAGAGTGCCCTTCTTGGCGTCTTGGCGTCCGGCAGAAATCGTAAAAGTCGATGGTTAGTTGGGGAGACATTATTATCGCGTGTGTTGTATACCTGGAATTTTATTTGCATAGAAAGTGGAAGTAGCAACTAATCCATCTCGTTAAGCGTCTTACTGTTACATGGAACGCTGAACGCTTCGCTGAAACTTCTTTATGTTGGATGTATCCAAAATGCTCATAACAAAGGGAAATATTGGCGACACATGGCCCTGAATATTTGTCTTGTTTTTAACGTAATTTGACTTCCTTCCTTGTTGGAAAGTTTGCCCCACCAGTGTGCCCCCGACTGATCTTATCCAGGCTTTGCCAATGCGACATTAAGTAGACCAAGCAGGCCCATTTTCATATAGTTTGTTAGGACTGAGTTTGCTATTTCAGTTCAGAAATTGTCATTGTGTATACGACAATTATGTTTTTGTAGAAAGTAGCTTTTAGTAGGACTTATGGACCTAGCGGGGTTGGGCCGGACCACGAGCCTACTTACTTTCCGGAGAGGGGTGAGACGTGGGGGGGGGGGGGGGGGGGG